CGTCCTTGCTTAAACCAGTATTTTCTACCAGGATTAAATCACTTGGTATTTTTAAACCAGTTATCATAGTTTGGCTCTCCAGGCCAAGCAGTAACACAGATGGAGCACAATCATATTTAACATCTCTGGGTAAACTTGTCTGTTTTCATCCTGTGGAACAGGGCCTTATGGATAAATTAGGTATTGCCCTTCATCTTTCCTTAAAAAAAAGTATGTTCCTCTAATTCTAAATAGTTTAATGAGTTATAAAATGACGATGTAGATAAAGTTTTTCTTTAGCCTAACAATTTAACTTGTTTTTCCCAGTTACTATCTTTGTGTGTATCTAGGAATTCTTTCAATAAAAAGATTTAAAACCCAAAATAGGTACTATATAATTTGGGAAATGCAGGAGAAAGATATTTATTGAGCACGTGTGGTGTACCAGACTGTTCAGATGCAGATGTGCTCCCTGTCCCAAGGGGTTTACAAGCAAAATAAAATAATAGGCCATACAATTTATAACAAACTCAAGAACATTGTTGGAGCAGCAATATAAATATAACACAAACTCAACCACAGAAGTCCCATTTGAACCCTTTCTTCAACTTCCTGCCAAATACAGATTAAAACTTAGGTCTTGTGGTTAACAAACTTGGGTCCTGAAGGTTAACAAATTTGGGCTGTTAGTAAAATAAGTTTTAGTATACAAATTAACTTTCTTTCCTCACTATTTCTCAGTCGCCCTGAAAGGAATATGACAGATACTTTTGTTGTAGCTTAGCAAGCTCCTCTCCTTCCTGAAATGCAGATTTATAATTTTTACTGCAGTACTCCCCAACTATACAGTAATTACCTCTTACAGTGAAAAGTAACTAGGACTCTTTTTCCTCTTTCTACAGTAATGGAAGACTACAATGTCATAAATTATGCTAAGTCGCAACTACAATGGTATAAATAGCTTCTGGTACAGAAATGCAGAACCCAAAGGGTCACTTACGAAAATGTTTAAAAGCTCAGCTATTTCATACCTAATCCAACTTTTTTTTTAACAAGAAAATCTCTACAGAAATTTGCATGAGTGAGTATTGCAAGATGTAGGGAGAAGTTGCTGCTTTAACCATCCTATTGCCTTAATTATTCCTGCTTTATGTTGTTTGATTTCCAGAGATATTTTGTCAGTTTGGGATTATTTTACTGTGTTTTAAGTCATAAAATGGGCACTTCTTTACTTTATGGTCTACCAGAAATCTAGCCTGCTGAAGTCCCAAACAGTAACTTTTTTTAAGGAAGGTAAATCCTATGATGACATTTAGAGTCTCTTTATTTTTAAAGGCTTGTTTGGGTCCTCTGCAACAGAAATATAAGTATTGATTGCTGAGGACCCCAAAATAATTTATTTTTAAATATAAAAAGTGTGTGTGTGTGTACGCTTGCAGCGCACATGCAATGCATCCTCCAGCAATTTTGCCCGAAACTTACCTTCCTCAATGAAAGCAAATTTTGAGGGCCTGAACTAGTTGAACAGTAATATCCTTTTTTAATTGTTAAGCTTAGAGGGGCTGAATTTTTTGACTCAAAAATGTGTTTTTAGAAAATAAACGTAAAAATAACCCATTAAACCATGAAATTATGTGGCTGTATGCAGCTGGGTCATAAATTAATTGTACTCAAGCAGGGTTGGGGAATAGCTTGACTAAAACAGACAATCCTCTTTACTGATTGAACCTGTATGCTGTTTACTTTAACCCACTTGTCACGCAGCTCATGGAAACCCGAAACTTAATTGTTTTATGAAGTGCTTCCTCATGTGTCAATGCCTAACCTATAGGCACTTCAGTTATATTATATACCGTATAATTGAAAGATCTTTCCCAAAAAATTTCTAACAAAGAGCATCTGAAAGTGTGAAACTCTGGTTTAATGCAAATAAAGGGCTCACCTTCTCAAATAAGAGCCTTCTTAATGTGTGGGGTTTTTTTGTTGTTGGGTTGTTGGTTTTTTTTGTTATACAGGCACCTCTTTAAAGTGTTTTTTTTTTTTTCTTGGCTGATGGCGTCTGTGGTTTTCAGAAATGTTATGACTACTGCAAAGCAGTTATATACTTTTACTGGTTACTATAAAATCAGCCTGAGTTTACAGCTTTCCTGATGTTGGTTTATTTTTTTATTTTATTTTTTATTTTATTTTATTTTATTTTTTAGTAAAAGGTAACATTTTAAAGCTGCAATAGTGAGTGAAGTGCTTCTTAAAGCCAGTATTATGCCAATTTTAATCCTTTTAAGAAAAACTTTAAGGTCACTTGTAAAATACTGTAATTTATATACACCCCACACACATGCAGGCATTATGGTTTTAATTTTACCTTTTTAAAACTTTTTAATAAAAAGTTTCTTTGAATTTTATTTTTTCCCCAGAGATACAGTAAAAGGAATTACCACTGTTGGTGTTGTACTAAAGAATTTGAATTGCATTTTCCAATCATCTTGATTGTATAAGTACAGTATAGGACAGCAAATATTACTGTGCTTTGGGAAATTGTTGGTGTACTGGTCTAGATTTCTCTAAAATTTACATTTAGTAAAGTAAATGTTTAGGCCTCACATTATCCTCCCATAAAGGATTAATGGTATTGCATCATCTCTGAGGGGAAAAAATGGATTCAAATGAAAGGGGATAGATATGGGCAAAAAGGCGAGCACAGTAGGCAAAAGTAAACTGATTCTGCAGCTTATTTACATTAATTTTCTTAGTATGTTAATAAATATCATTATTTCAAAGACCAAAATAGAATATAGATCAAAATATCACGATAGAATTTGCATTCCAATTTTCTGAGAGTATAAACTGAGTCGGATATTGCCGCATATGTAACGTACACCACATGTCAGCTGTTTCCTGCTTCACTGCTGACAAGAGCCCCATTCATAACTCTCTTCTTTTTATCCTTTCAGTGAATAAGTAATTATTCAATATAGAAGGCAGGATATTTGGAACTGGCTATTTAATGTGGCAGCACACCGTAATGAAATCTGCTGTTACTGGCAACCTGAGAGGGGAATGTAACAATTCCAGCATGGCTGTAACTTTATCTGCTTTGACGGCCTGTTTATTTGGCACATCAGTGAACCTTTTATCCCAGTGAGTGACAGCTCCAGGAGGGTCACATTTACATCCATTCTATCATGTATTGTAATATTTAATGGCGGACAAGGTTGAGTGGGACTCAGGGTAATTTGAACTTGCTTTTCCACAGAGTGGAGGCTAAGAGACAGCTTGATCCCCAGTATTGTGGTGTAACACATTCCATGACTTAGCATTTGTTTATGAAGGATAATCAATTAAAAGCAGAGGGAAAAACTTTCAGCTGTCAAGTACAGTTTGTTGCTACTTGCGCCATCAAACTAAAAACCAAGTGCAAACTATTTTACACTGTTAACACGTGCTGATCGGTTTTTCACTACTGCATGTACTTGTACAGACAAGATACTCTTCTTACAGATCTCTTAACATTTTCTTTGTGTCATCTACATAAATCCTAATGATTAGTCTTCCCAATAGTTTATGTTGTGGAAGAGATTGAGGAGGATGAGTTTCTCTGTGACAAAGTAATTGGAGTGAAAAAAAAAACACAGTTGTCTGCTATTCCAAATATTTTTCCTGGATTCAGTACTGTTAGTTAAGAATTATGAAACTCTTAAGGCGAAATGAGAGTATTCACTAGAATTGACTAATGGCATAACACCATGATGAGTGTATTACTAATAGAGTATATGCTTTGAAGCCAATTTAGTGAAATTTGATTTGCAGATGAAACCATATTAAAACAAAGTTTTCAGTATTAGTTTTAATTTGGTAGCCCAGTCAGGTCTTGATCCTACAAGGTGCTGCAGAGTCGTGTCCTGATCCAGCAAAGCTCTTAAGCACATGCTTAAATTTATGTATATGAGAAGTCTCTCTGACTTCAGTTGCACTAGTCACATGCTTAAGTGCTTTACTGGATTGAGGCCAGAGTGCTCAGCACCTTATAGGATCAAGCCCTCAATGGAAAAGTAATTTCCTTTAGCTGGCAGTCAGTATATAAGAACTTGTTCAAATTAAGAAACATAATAAACAATCCTTTTCCCCCACATTAATGTTTCTCACTTTTTCTTCATTTGTCTGCTATGAAACAAAGGCTGCCATCTGGTTTGAAGACAGCATGTGTCTCTTGTATAACATGCTTTTTTTTTACTCAGTTCTTAAGGCCTGGCCTGGGAACTCCTAACTCTAGGCGTCCTGCATAACTTGCTACTAAACTGTCCTGGCTTTTTTCATTGTAATAATTTGTCACAGGTAAATTAGAGGTAATTGGCTGTGCATGATGGCAGAAAATGAACCTAAAGTAGAAAAACTTTCCTAGTGCATTGTAAAAATTAGTTTAAAATTCTCTCTCTTTTCTGGCACAAAGGAATAAACAAATTAAAATGTCATGTACAAAATAATGTTATTTTACTGGCACAGCACTTGAGTTTAACCACAATCTGGTTTGTTTAAATCCTGGAGAGACAGTGAACGGTACCAGTAAACCTTTCTATATGTGAAATTAATAGATGGTATAACCAAGGACATGCATCAACTTTGCTACTAAATTTCGTATGTTGATTTCGATGGTAACATTTTAATTTCCATCAAAGTAATGGCATATTAACCTGGAAAATATTATGCTGACTGGCAAAGAATATATAAAGAAAAAAGCAGATGGAGAATTTGGTAATTACTTACGGTTTTTTACTTGAGAGATACTCTCTTTTCTACGATAACTTTTTATAACAAATTAAACTCTCTTAAAAATTATTTTGAGATTTTGTAATGTTTTGTGTATACTTTTAACTTGAGTCCACTATTCAGAGTTTGATAGATTAATTAATGGGACATTTTGAACCACCCTAGAGGAAAACGCTCAATGGTCAATATGGAGATTTAGTATATGCAGTTTGCAGTGGTAATGGCCTAATAAACTTTCCGTTTTTTGGTTACAGTCTCCTGGCCCCTGCACACAATGTTCCTGTTCTTCTGCAAAAGAAAATTGTAAAAATGTTAGTAATGCAAAGAGGAAGGAAAATGGAGGAAAGCCACACATCCCCAAAATATTTTTTGGAACTCGAACACACAAGCAAATAGCTCAGATTACTAGAGAGCTGCAGAGGACAGTGTACTCCAGTGTCCGTATGACAATTCTTTCTAGCCGGGATCATACCTGTGTTCATCCAGTGGTATCCAGAAGTAGTAACAGGAATGAAAAATGCGCAGACTTGCTGGAAGGAAAAAATGTGAGTAGTTTTGTTTCAGAAAATGAGTATTAATTAAAAAATATTAATGAAAGATTTAGCTGCCTGAGCAGCTGGATTGAGTAACATTCTAACTTCTTAATGGCACACCGGTTGGAAGCCCTTTTGTAACTTCTAATTCATTTTGCATTAGACCATTAATCTTCAGTAAATCTTGATTCACAGCATCAAAATTTAAAAAGTGTAATAGATTATGACAATGTACGATTATAGTTTTAATTTGGGAGCTTAATTACAATTGCAATAACCTTTGCTTTCTCAAAACGTATTTCTTTTTTAAATTAAATTAAATAATCCATTCAGGCCTGATTTCTCTCTGCTTATTCTTTTATTTTATTTTATTGAGCGTATCTGGGCATTGAAGATGATTAGAATGCATGGGGGTAAAATTATTGTAATAATTCTCTAGTTGCAAAATTAAGAGGATAGGGACTTAATTACCTGTGTTATGTAAGTAGTAATTTAGAGCCTTTTCTCATGTGGATAACCCACCACAAATCCGGAACAAATAATCTGCTAATGATGCTAGCAGAGATACACTGTGCTTGCTCACCCTATGATAATAAGTGTTATTGATAACATAATTTGTTCATCATCATCGTGGTTAACCAAGTTTAGGATTTCTGCTTGCCATTTCAGAGTTGTTTTAAGACTATCTTGTTTCCTTTCCACTTTTGCAGCCTACATTTAAAATAAATAAATAAAACTAGACTGCAAAAGCACAGCAGAATTTATTTATTTACAGATAATCTGCAAAGCCTAACAAAATTGCCATCTTTTGCTGCTTCATAGTGTATATAGAAGTTCTGAAATGAATGTTCCAAAAAGTAGTGTGTTTCTGCTTGTTTACCCATTTAAAATATCAGGTCTGGACTTCCCTGTTTTTGCTAGAGGACAAGAAAATAGTTGGCTTGGCTGCACATCAGATTGAACAAGACTAAATCTTAAGAAATTGAGAGGGGACGGGATTTTTATATCACTGTTAACACCGTTTTGTTTTATAATACTTATTTTAATTCAAGCTGCTGACAAATACTTAAGAGAAAAGCTCTTTGTGCACGTTTCAATCCTTCCCTTATTCCCTGTTCCGTCAGTTGTGAGCTGAGCAACTCTTATTCCAGTTTTTAGTCCTTCAAGAAGTCCTGCAGCAAAACCTTGATATTGATAGTTGTAAGGCAAGTCGAAAATTTTTTCCAGCTGCCTCTATTCCCTGTAAGGAAGCTAAAAAGGGCGCACACACTTTTTTTTCCCCTTTGTTGGTCACTTTTAAAATATATCAGCACCACACATACATTGATCATAAATGTAGGAAGATTAGTTAGGAGTCATTCTATGCCAAAAATAGTGTGTCTATAAGCAAATTAAAGGTTTTAATAATTGTGTGTATCCAGTAAAAGGTTTTTGCTGGTTTCCAATGTACGACTCAGACTGTAGAAAACTATTGAGGCTGATAGGAACAGCTTTTGTTGTCTCCATTGGCAAATTGTTTTGAAGGATATATGGTCATACTGTACCTAGTTTCTGTTTTGTCCTCTTGTTGGGGCTTCAAGTTTATTTTGTATTCATCACGTATAAGTGAGCATTTGCTTTTTATGCTCCCAAGTTCTAAGGGTAAATAGTAGTGGTAATGAGAGCCAATTACACTGTCACTTTAGGTGTCTGTGTTAACCAAGACTATATTACAGAAGTGAGCTGATAAGCAGATAACTGACAATTTGTGAGCGAAAAGGCACTAAGTGTGATAACATTTCAACTGACAATCTGCCCCTTAGGGTTGTGTTACACTGTTAAAAAGGGATGGGCTTTCCTGTTCATGTTATCAATCTTCATATGACTAGGCAGCCTTAATTGCCTCTAGTCTAAAGTATATATTTCCAGGGATTTATTCTCTTCTTGCTGGTTTTGTTTACTTAAAAGTTGATCAAAGAAAAAATAGAATTCACAGCAACTAATTTTATAGTTTAAAAAAAAACTGTACTCAGATTGACTAGAACAGAGAAATAATAGTTGTTTAGTTATACCTTAGGGACACCAGTGTTAACCAGTATTAAAATTTTAAAATTCTCCACTCCTCCCTGTAATTCCAGGGTATCATCTCCAACCCATACATTAAGATTTGCCTGTCCAATCTCTCTCCTACCCCTCCAGAAAAAACAACAACAAATAAACCCAAACCAACCTCGAAATGATGTACTTGAACACCAGTGGAAGGACTGCTGTCAAAGTCATGAGCAGAACAACTATTATTTGCTTTTATTGTTAAACATGACACCCTCCTGAGCTATTAGCACAGAGGAGACATACAAATGAACAAGCTCAGGTGGATTCTAATGTGATTTAAATTCACTAGACATTTCTGGTTGGTAATTTGATGATATAAGAAAGTTGATATATTGGTGGGTGGATGTGAATGTGCCATATTATTTTATTTTCTATCTTTCCTAGTTGAATTAACTATATGTATTTGGATTTATTAATTAATTGCTCATGATTTAGAATCCATCCCACCCTCTTCCACTGCCAGGTTGCTATTTGTAAAATAGATTAAAATTTTCTTTGGGTTCACTGGCAAAACTCTGAAATGTACCTTACAGATTTATGTATGATAGGTTATAGATCCTGTCATATTTGCCTGCTTCGTTTCTGCCATTATATTTGTTGTTGTTAAAGTCCAAAAGATAACAAGCACTTTTTAAAATACCCCAGTGATTGAGATGAAGTAAAAGATTACAAAATAAGGGGTTTTTTTGTTTGTTTTACAAAAAAATGTACGTTCACGTGCATCATTGTTCCTAGGACAATATTTTGTTTTCAAACTTGCACATATTTCCTTTTAGGGCGGGTCCTGTGTTTACTACCATGGTGTCCATAAACTTAGTGAACATCATGCTCTACAGTTTGCACGTAAGAAGTGTCAGGCTTGGGACATAGAAGATCTAGTAAGCCTGGGAAAGAAGCTACGTGCATGTGCCTATTTTGCAGCTCGAGAACTCATGGTGGGCGCAGATATTGTATTTTGTCCTTACAACTACCTGCTGGACCCACAAATAAGAGAGAGTGTAAGTATATTTGTAAGTAGGGCTTGGTCTAAACTACGAACTTATGTCGATATAATTATGTTGCTCAGGAAAATCCACACCCCTTTGCCACATAGTTATGCCGACCTAACCCTTGGCGTAGACAGTGCTATGTTGACAGAAGGGTTTCTCCTATCGACCTCGCTATTGCCTGTTGGGAAGTGGATATCTATGCTGAAGGGAGAAACTCTCCCGTCGGCCTAAGTAGTGTCTTTACTAAGTATTATAGTGGTGCCTCTGCAGTGTTGTAAGAGTAGACAAGCCCTAGATTTTGGTTGTTGCATTGACTGAAGTTAAAGCGAGATGAATAAAGAATGTGATAAAGGCACATGGTCAACTTAAAGCCATATTCCTGTCTGAATACTTGCTAGTGTTACAAGTAACATCTAAATTAAAGAGATTAAAGAATATTTTTCTTTTCTTTTGCAATATCCTTATTTTGTACATATGACAGTACCTCTGGTAATAGTCAGTTTCACTGTTTTTTCCATTGTAGCTAATCAGTTGTGTGGATTTTTTACACAACAACAGAAGAGAAACTTCTAGGATGGCTTAACTACGAAAAGTGGGCATGGTGGCTTAGGGAAGGTGTAAAAAGTGAAAATACTTTTATTTCATTAAAAAAAAATCACATTTCAACCTGTCTGTCCTTTTTGCTATTAATTATACAGTACCATAAAAGTACATTTTACAAACTCTCTGCCCCTATGGTATTTACAGATAAGGACCAAATTCTGTCATTTATGCTTGCACCAGGTTTCAGTTTTGTGAAAAACCTAGCTAGTTCCTATGCTACGGAAATTCTGTCAAGCTCTAAAAAATCACTTTTCATTGCTTGTACAAGTGACACAATTTGGACAGATTTTTTTTTTAAACATGAACCTACTGGCTGTTGTTTACTCATTTTACTGGACAATTGTTGTCTTTTGCAGATGGAGATTAACTTAAAAGACCAAGTAGTCATTTTAGATGAAGCTCATAATATTGAAGATTGTGCACGGGAGTCAGCCAGTTACAGTGTTACAGAAACACAGCTGAGATTTGCTCGAGAAGAACTTGATATCATGGTCGTCAACAACATCAGACGGAAGGACCATGATCCCCTGCGGGCTGTGTGCTACAGTCTGACAAAGTAAGGCCTATTTAAAACAAACAAACAATCAAACAAAAAAACCTACTGTTTATAGTCCTTTTATGAATATCATGTACTAGAAGACACACTGCATAATTGACAAGAAGACTTACAGATATACTTCAAACGCTATAGTCCACAAGCCAGACCTCTTGTTTTTCTCATTTTGGGCACCCAAGAAGGATTTGTGGCATTTATGACAATTAATTGTTTAATGGATCACGGGAATATTTTCAAAAGTCCAATTTCCAGAAGTAACTTAGGCTCCTAAGTGCCTAACTCACTTTTTTCAAAATGGGATTTAGGTTCTTAGGTCATTCAGGTGCTTTTGAAAATTTTACTCCAAGACTTTGGGCAAATTCATCTAAATTTTCTGTGCATTTCCCCATCAGGCCAATCACAGGGATTTTGTGAGAATTAATGTTTGTAAAATGCTTTGTGAGCCTTCTGTGGAAGGTGTTATATCAGTACAAAGTAGTGTTAAGTCAGCATTAGAGAAACTTATGTTTCCAGAGGAAATCTTCCCCCCTTAAGGTAGAGAAAAATTCTATGCAAAGTGTTTCAAGTGTTCTGAGAGTAGACATCCTCTGCTGGTTTAGTAAAAGACAATTGGAGTTTGCTTTAACTAAAGGCAGGGCAGGTAGCAACGCCTAGTTAAGGCTACCCAACACTTATCATTTGCCTGTAATTTTGCCAAACACAAATCGTTTGGGCTGATAAAATTTCCCAGGCAGGATGTCTGCCTAAGGCTAATTTTTTTTTTTTTAAAGTTTCACCTAAAATAACTCAGCCATTTTTGAGAGCAAGGTCAGGGAGAAATGTTCTTCAATCTTACAACTGTTTTGCTGAGACTGTCTAGTGCCTCCATGCTTCAGAACAGGGACTTGAAATTTGTCAAGTGGGGACACCTTGGTGTCAAGCATCTCTGAAAATTTGCCCAAATCTGGTATAAGGCTCTGAAAAATTGCAGTGTGCACATGCTCAGTAGAGACATCTTAGTGTTTGGCAGCTAAATTCTCCAAAGATTCTGTCTGCACTGATCATGTGCTACCCTCTCACAGCTTCTGTCTGTGGCCAGACAGTGCTTGTTTTGGCCCCACAGACCAACTAGGCATGCTCTCTCCCTTGGCTGCAGGAGCTACGTAGGACTTTCCCTGCAATTGTTCTTTCCGGTAGCCACTGTGAAGCCATGCACAGGAACTGAGAGCAGGGAGAATCTGTTTTCTCATTGCTCTCCCTGCGGGTGCCCATGTGTTGTGGAGTGGAAAGAGGCAGCAACCTAACTTGAATACACAGTGGTGAGGAACAGGGGCAAGGCATAAGGGATAGGAGCCTGAGGGGAGCATGGTGTGGTTAGGAGCAAGAACTGGCAGGGAGGAACAAGGACAGAAGATAGGGAAGAGGAAATAAGAACAAAGGGGGGAGGCGAAGGACAGGAGCTATGGAGTGGAGAAGATCAGAATGGGTGAAGAAGAACGTGGACAAGAGTTGGGGGCAAGACAAGGAGACAGAGCAGGCAGGAGTTGAGTGAGAGGGGGACAGGTGTAGGATCTGGACAAGGTGGGTATAGAAGCAGAAGGGGCAGGAAGAGGCTGGGAGAACAGTGGCAGATGGTCTATAGCCACTAGAACTTGGAACTGAACCCGTTATTGATGAGTCTTAACATTCCTTTGCTGTCTAGCAAATAGCTGTGAAACCCTCTGGTAAAGTGTCTCTCTCTGTTTCCATCTCCTTGTGCCAGGTCCTCAGAGAAGTAATAGCCTTCTTCTGTTACCAGTTACTCCATTAGCTTAAGTGGTAGTGGATAGTGTTGTGGATCTAAAGATCCCAACCCTGCTGATGTTGTGGAGGATGCATGTGGTCAGGGGTGAAAGTAATGCTGAAGACTTACCGGTATAGGGGCAGGGTTGGAGGGGAGTCAGTGTCCCCCAGCCATCCCTTCCAAGCTTCCTGGCTCACGCCACCTGGGGCTCCAGTGGTGATTTAAAGGGCCCAGGGCTCCGGCCGCTGCCACAGTAGCAATAGCGGTGGTCGGAGCCCCGGGCCCTTTTAAATCATCGGTTCCGGGGCAGCTGTTTCCTCCCTCCCCCTCATCGACAGCCGGGAGGGGCAAAAGGGGCAGTGACATTAAAGCCAGCTGGGTACGGGCCAGTACCAGCGGCCACTTTTTACCGGTACACCGTACCAGCTGGCTTTTACCCCTGCATGTGGTTCTACGTGATGCAATTTTGTTTTTTCAGTGTTTAAGTTTTTTAAAAACTTAGGTAATTTTGGTTAAAATTTCCTACATTAAAAGAATGCTAAGGTTTCAGAGTCGAGCACTTGCCTGTATAATCTGGACTTTTTGAGGAGCCTGAGAATAAGGCCGCCTAGACCCCCAGCAGCCCAGACTCCCAGCAGCCCACCTGCCTGAGAGCTGGGCAGCTTGTGGAATCTAGAACATAAGAATGGTCATACTGGGGCAGAGTAATGGTCTATCTAGCCCAGTTTCCTCTCTTCCGATAGTGGCCAATGCCAGATGCTTCAGAATGAGTGAACAGAACAGGGCAGTTTATCAAGCGATTTATCCCAGTCGTCCTGTCCCAGCTTCTGGCAATCAGAGGGCTAGGGACACCCAGAGTTATGAGGTTGCATCCCTGACAGTCTTGGCTAATAGCCATTGATGTTTCTTTCCTTCATGAACACATCAAATTCTTTTTTGAAGCCAGTTATATTTTTGGCCTTCACAACATCCCCTGGAAGTGAGTTCCACAGGCTTATTGTGCATTGTGTGAAGAAGTATTTCCTTATGTTTGTTTTAAACCTGCTGCCTATTAATTTAATTGGGTGACCCCTGGTGAAAATGTAAATAACACTTCCTTATTCACTTTCTCTACTCCATTTTTATAAACCTCTGTCATATCTCCCCTTCGTTGTCTCTGGGCAGTTTGCAAGTCATGGAGACGTGGATGATAGTCTGACAGAATATTAAAATTTTCCTGCAGAAAGTTAATTTTCTGCCAGAAAATTATTCCACAGAAAATGCCCAATGAACTCGAAGGGAGAATGGAAATTTCTCTGCTCCTGCTACAGAGTTTCTATGTGATGTTGAGCAAGTCACATAAATCAAAAAGCAGCCAACCTCCACCACCATTTCATTCTCCTTTGTGTTTTGACTGTACAGTGCCATATATAGTAGCTGCTACTGTAATTTAAATAATAAATAACTGGTACCCAACTGTGCATGTCCAAATATTCCAATTAAGTAATTGCCTCCTTCATCAGAAACCTATCTGAACAGTGGAATAACAGTAAGAAATAACAAAAGTGGCTTTGTTTATATTAACTGAGCTTATCTTAATTACATTTGGGACAAGCATTTTGTTATAATATTGGTCTGGAAGTGTTGCTCATTTAGGAAGTCCCTGTTTATATTAGAGATTAGGTACACCTTCAACGTCACCCTCTTTTCTTTTCCATTTGGTGCCAAGGGTTAACATTTGTGTGCCACTGAGACAGAATAATTTCCCTGTGGCTACTAATTCTCCTTTGTTGGGTCTTTCAAATGTTAAACTTCTTAGCAGCAGAGGAGAGCAACAAGGCTGGAGATTTGACCGCCTCTGGCTTTTTAACCTTATCAGAAAAACTCAGGTTGATTCTCTTGTCAAGTCTGCCAACCGTAGGGAAAGCAAGAGACTGAGTGTAAATGACCAATAATTAGTATTTTCTTTTTGCACAAACTGGCAGCTCTGGGCCCGTTAAGTGAGTAACCAGAAAAATTCTACATCCGTTTAAAAAAGTCTCTTATGTTTGATTCTAAAAAGCACTTAAGCACATGTTTTAGTGCCCTTTCCTACACTTGAAAGGATTTGCCAGTTCCCCTAGTGAAACACAGCTTATACTAGCAAAAGAGTTCTTGCATCCTGTCTTTCTTTCTCTGTGGCTGGAATGAAGGGATGTGGTTTAATTAGGCTGATTTAACTCATCTTGGAAATACTTAGCAATGAGCTGTATGATGCAGGTTATCACTCTTTCCTTGATCATACCAATTACAGAGGTAATGAATTGTCTGTAAAGCATAATAGCTTAAAATAAGGATTGGTGCAAGGCTACACAAATGTTTCCTAGCATTCCTGACAAATTAAAGAAACAAGTTATATTTTTATGCCCCTTTAAAATGAAGTTAAAAAATAATATATGGGCGGGGGGGGGGGAAAGTGTCAACACTAAGGGACAGATTTTTCTCTGACATCCATCAGCATACATCAGAAGTAGCTCTAATTAAAGTCAGTGCAGTTCAAAGGTGTAAAACTAGCAGAAGAGAGAACAGAATCAGACCCTAAATGCAGAGCCCTCAACCTTTTGATTAAAGATATTAAGTTAAAATAAGTACTGTATATACTCGTTCATTAGCCTGTTCATTTATAAGCCGACCCCCCGAGATGGTTAGGTAAAAATAGCAAAAACTGTATGACCCTTTCATAAGTCGACCCTATATTTCAGGGGTTGGCAGACTTTGGCTCCTGGCCCGTTAGGATAAGCCTCTAGCGGGACTGGACGTTTTGTTTACCTGGAGCGTTCACTGGCATGGAGCCCCTCAGCTCCCAGTGGCCGCAGTTTGCCGTTTCCAGCCAATGGGAGTTGCGGGAAGTGGCACCTCTCTGGGAACGGCGAACCGTAGCCACAGGGAGCTGAGGGACTCCATGCCTATGAACGCTCCAGGTAAACAAAACAACAATGTATTAGATATTCAATTCAATGATTCCATAGAGTTTAAAATCATCAAATTTTAGTGTAGACCTGTTTATAAGCCGATCCCCGCTCTTTGATGTGTCATATTTTACCAAAAATATTAGGCTTATGAACGAGTATATAATATCACAGGAGTATGGTACAATTTGTGAAGCTTATTCAATTTTGCTTCCTGGAAACAATCATACAAGATCATTTAAATTAATGCAGGAATGATTTACAATTATTATTCCTCTCTTCATTTGCAGTTGGCTGCAGGAAAGCTCTGGTCAGCTTAAAGAAAGAGGATATGAAACCTCCTGTAAAGTTTGGAGTGGAAAGGAAATGCTCACCATTTTGCACAATATGGGAATAACAAATGCTACATTTCCTATCTTGCAGGTAGAGTTTTCTGTTACAGAATTTATTATACAAATGCATAATATTATTTGGTTTCATGTTTTAAAATACGCTTACACTACTTGTACTTTTTTAAATTCAGTCCAGTTTCTCAAAGCTGTCTTAAAAAAGTGTGCATGATGAAAATCAAAGGTAAATCCACAGAAACTAGTACAGTCACACCTGTGTAAAAGAAGTGCCAGTGGCGAATCAAGTTCTAAATCTACTAGAGTAATTTATTTTCAAAGTCGCAGACACTGACCTTGTTACGATGGTCTTATAATTACTTTATTTCTGTTCTACCAAAGAATAACTGTGATCAGATAAAATTATTCAAAGTTGTGACAATGTAGTGACTCTTAGTTCTGTCTTTACTGACCATCTACATTCAGATTGATTGATTAACAAATCATATTTACTGCATGCTTCAGCCAATCATTTCTTTCTGTATGGTACCAAGCACATTGAAAGCACTGAGTTAAGTACTAAGATTTTTATCTTCAGTCTAACTTCTCTGCTGCATTGAGATAAGTTGTTTTAAAATACTGTGGTGAACACTTTATTTGTATGCATTTGTTTTGGGAAGATTTTTAGGATGATATTAATGAAGAGTTTGCCTGTTGCAGAAACATTTTGCAGCTGTCCTTGAAAAAGAAGAAAAAGTATCAAATCTTCATGAAGGAGATGAGCTTATTGAGGTTCCTATTGTGAGCCCTGCCACTCAAATTGTGCTAAAAGGGCTATTCATGGTTCTGCTATATCTTTTTAAAGATAACAACAGGTTGGTGGAAATATATAGCCTGAATTGTGGACTTTTTTCATTCTCCTTTCTATCAGATATATTTAAATTGCAAGTGAGTGCATTTTTGTAAACATCTGATTGTTTATAGGAAGATGGAAAGACTGCAAATATAAATATTTTCCCTAAGACATTTGGGTAGTTTTGGTGCGCATGATAAAGAAAAAAAGAGCACTTGTAGGAGCCAAGCACAGTGGAGGCATGCATAGTACAAACATGTTCCTGCTTCTTTGCCAAGTTGTCTCTTTCTCAACTATTCAGCACCTCTGCTATTTATTTCAGTGTCAGGTTTCTCCTGAGCGAAACCTACCAATTAAACAGGATTGTGCCAAAAAATTCTCATGTGGGTAAACATCCAGTAAGTAGTAGGTTGATATCACCAAATTAATTTTCTTTTTTATATAACTAAAATGTTGAGTGTGGTTTCTCTAAAGGTCAGACTAGAATATTTTCTTGGCATGTTGCTTAACTCCAGTATGCAATTTAATTCTTTTAAATTAACATTAAAGTGATCTAAACTACTCTTTTGATACCTTCACTCTTAAAGCCACTGTAGCTATTAAATATTTTGTTTTAGAACTAATTCTGTAATACACGGCTTAGCGATTATAGGGGCTCTTTATGTTTCTTAACTTTTGAACCTTATATCTTAAATCATAATCACTGTTTCTAGTGTAGAGTACATTATTCCATATATTGTATGCACAGTTGCCAACTCATTTTATTATAGGAAGAGTTTCGTACAGCATTAGGCTGGATGCTTAAGGTGGAACCACATTGTGTCAACACTGGTTTTGTTTTTTCAGAGTTTAATGCTGAACTCACATGACAGATATTATGAAATATATTTAACAAACACAAGTGCAGGTTACATCTATTTACCAGTTATATTAATTTACTTTTGTATAGATTTGCAGATGACTACAGAGTTGCTTTGCAACAAACATATGTTTGGACAAATGAAAAGCAACTTGATATTCCAGATAAAAATGCTTTTTTTGTACAACCAAAACATCAGAGAAGTTCACGGCAGAAAACAGCAGTCCATACGCTTAACTTTTGGTGCTTGAATCCAGCTGTGGTAAGCTAAGTACAAAGTGAACCAGCAACTCCTTACTGACCTTTATTTGATCACAAATACAAATATAATAGTTTGTATTGATTTTACTAATTTTTTTTTTAATTTTCCCTAGGCCTTTTCAGATTTAAGTGGTAATGTCAGGACAATTGTTCTAACATCTGGTACGCTCTCTCCAATGGACTCATTTTCTTCAGAACTTGGTGTGAAGTTTACTATCCAGCTTGAGGCAAATCATGTTATTCATAACTCACAGGTAAATGTTTGCAGCATTGCTTTCACTCCTGAAACTTTAATATTCATTATAAATGGCAAGTTAAAATGAAGACCATATAAACTCGTTCTATTTCTATAACTCAAAATGGAAAGAGTAAAATAGACATTTACTTGCATTGAGAAAATTGTCAACTAAGTGTTTAAATGAAACTATACTTGATATATAATAATCCTAAATAAAAGTAGTAATAGTAGGAAAATATTATTTCACCAGTACAGCTAAAAAGTAAACACTACTGGTAACAGCACCTCTCACTTTGGTGACTTGCTACACTCCATTCTCTCTCTCTCTCTGTTTATTCATTTTATATTCTTGTTCCTTAGCATTAATCTGTTCAGAAATAATCTTAATATTTTGTTTACTTCAGTTTTTACATTCCCCTATTAAGTTAGTGTAAATATGTATATAACACTGAAATATTAATACAACAGGTTTGGGTTGGCACCATTGGGGCAGGCCCCAAGGGTCGGAAGCTGCATGCCACATTCCAGCATACAGAGACCTTTGAATTCCAGGATGAAGTGGGAGCACTTCTGCTTTCAGTGTGTCAAACTGTTGGCCAAGGGGTCTTATGCTTTTTGCCATCTTATAAAGTAAGGAAATTTTAATTCATATTCTTCTCTTTTAAAAACCCTACTTAAAGATTTACTCTGTAACTTTTTATCCCTATACATCAACATAGAGACAACAGCAGTGTCCATGTTGGAATTGCTTGGATCCTGTAGTTGATTGGTTACAAGTTTGCTTTTGTGCAAGGTATGTTTTGTTTCATTATAGGAATAATAGGAATATTATTGTTTTGATCACAGTTATCCAGAAAAGACTGGTTTGGGCCTCAGTGCAAGTGTGCTTATGTGCTTTTGGCATCTGTTAGAAAGGGATCTCGGTATGAAAATAAATCTTGGATAGAAAGTGTAACAGTTCAGGGCAACTTTGCCCATATTCCCCCTCCATGGTCCAGCAAGGGCCAGCTCCCCAGCTGTCTCCTTTCTTGGGCAGACACACTTCTTTGTTCTTCTAGACCAAGGTATTTCCAGGCTGCACAATTTCCTGCCTATACTGTGAATTCCCCAGTAAGACAGACTGCCTAGCAGACCTGCTTTGCCTTCTACTCAGAGACTCTAAACAGCATAATTGTCCACTGGTTTAAGTTACCACACAGCTCTTTCTAAGCAAGTGCATTTATTCTTAAGGTAAAAGCATATTAAAAACAATGAAAGAACCTACATGGATGCTAATAAGCTTACTAGAAATCATCACCCCCATCTCCACAAGGGCTCTGGTCAGTATCAGTCCTTCCAATCCTTACCTGAGGATTGGGGCCCTTCACTTGGACAGAGGGTCCTGTCCGTTTATTGAATCAGAAAGAAGGCCCTGAGTCAATTTAAAATCAGATTATTTATCCAAAAGTCCTTTCTTGTCTGCTGGTCTCTAGAGAATCCAGTTGGAACCAGTATATGCCTCTTTCAAGGTGGTGGTGCCTCTCGGGATGTTACAACCTGAATGAATTTGCCTAATACCCCCCATTCCTCTTCCGCCTTCCCTCCTCCTCTTAGTTCCTGGAGGGCTGTGTTCCCCCTCCCCCATGGAATTGCATACAATCCCTGGCCCACAGTGGTACATACACTTAATACAGTAAGATTTAACTTAATTCAATAAGGTTTGTTCTGGATATTGCAGGAAATTGCTATATCTGTTGCAGAAAGATGAGATGTTCAGTGTTTTTCTTTGAACTGTCTCCATGGTCTAGCTTTTTAAAACCAGTTTTTAAAAAACTCTTACCATTCAATTGCCTATCATCAAAGGCAACTTTGTCATGTGCATTGACTCAGCAATTAGGATGCCTTTTGCATTTTCTTTATATGCAGTTTGTATATAATATACAGCTGTTTCATTTCACTTCACTATGGATTTTAGCAGTGTTTTATTGAATCAAGTGGAAATTGCACAAAGCCCACTGTCCCAAGGGATCAATTTTCTTTATTTCAAAGCATGTATTACTAAATTTTATTGTTGATAGGAGGGTGTAACTTATGGCTAAGACTATACCCCAGTGATAAAAAACGGAAGTTCATATTCTTTTCCCATAGTTCTTATTGTTGTACAGAACTCAGATCTGAGGAACAGTATAAATGTGCAATGTAATTAGGAGTACAGGTCTGTTTATTTCATCAAATTGTAACTGTGGTTGGATTGCAGTAAACAATTTAGTAAAATCAACAGTGGTTTAATGTAAACCTTTTAAAAATCAAAACTGGTACCACTGGAAAAACTGCACCAATTTGGAGCCGCTGATGTAGTTCAAGATTTCTGACCGCTTTGCTGATGTCAGAAGTCCCACAAGAAAGAGTAATTTAAAACCTGAAGGAATGGATAAAAAGAAAATGTCCTTTTGTGTGACACGCTACATACAGTATGTATATTTTAGATCAAAAGGAATACCAGTTCTTTATCTTGCCTGATGTCCATAAAGAGCTGCAGTCATCGGTGCAGTTACTAGAAATAACCATTAGGTGACCACATTAGACCATACAATGTAGAATTGGTAGAAGAAGGCAGACTATGAACTATAATCCATCATTCTAACTCACAAAACCACATGTATAATGTGCAAGACTAGCAAGCTGAAAATAAATCTTAAATTGTCTTCTAATTTTATATCTAAAATTGAATCCCAGGCATTATTTCAGTTTGTGATGTATTTATGTAGAGCAATAGTTGTGACAATGGTACTGTATATGTTGCGTGGACATTGGTTTTTGTGTGTATAAACAAAAGATATTTGCTAAAAAATTATTTTTTGACAGTAAAACTTATCTCCATTGAAAATGCTTAGAGACCTTGAGCTCAGAGTAATAACTGGCATATTTAGTAAGAATGAAAGAAATTGCTGATCAGCTCAGGTTGTCCCCTTCCCCTTCAAAACTCCAGTTGGCCTTATGGTTCACTGAAAGGACCACTGACAAAAAAAACATTAACTGCATGTCTACGCTGCAATAAAACACCTGTGGCTGGCCCAGATCAGCTGACTTGGGCTCAGGCTGCAGGGTTATAAAATTGCAGAGTAGGTATTTGGGCTCAGGCTCAGGGTCTCAGAACCTGGGCTGCTGCCCGAGCACAAATGTCTACACTGCAGTTTTAGAGCCCCACAGTCCAAGTCTTGTGAGCCCAAGTCAGGTGACCCAGGCCAGACATGGGTGTTTTATTGCAGTGTATACATACCCTACGTGTTTTTTCTTTGTGGAGGCACTTCCATGGACTTAGTGAAGGTATTGATAAATATAAATTTCAGAATTACTTTAAACACCAAAATACAGACAGACACCTACAAAAGGCTTAAATATAAGTACTGTGTTAATACATTCATATGGGCCAGATTTTAAATGGAAAAGTCAGGAAATTGAATTGTTTCCCACAGCAACTTGAATTCAACCACTTAAACATATCTAGTATTTTGTTATACTGTATGTGGGGTCAACTTTTAGGACTTTATAAACAAAATATGCAATAAAGGCATTACAGTTACTATGGAACAAGTGATTTTTCTAACTTTTTCACATTTAGTATCAAAATCATCCATGGAGTGTGGTGCTCCAGATATACACTCATATCTATTTATATATGTTTTGATTTATTAAGAAGTGCCTACCAATATCTCTAGGTACACAGACCAAATTTTTCCAACTGAGGGGCTTATCGCTTCCCGGCTCTCTGAGCTCTGGTCAAGTGAAAAAATTCTCTTAGTTATTGGATTTGGGAGATGAAGGAACCATGCTACATGATGCAGTTTGTAACTATACAATGTCAAGTGACTAGAGCCAGGAAATATGGAGTAGTCTATTATCAGTACCCATGTGTTGCACCTTTATTACATGGTCTCAGAAATAAAAACCATTTGTGGCAAAAGTGGAGCAAATGAAACCACCTGAATCCCCCAGTCTGGAAAGAAATAATTAGGAGTCAGCTATAATGTAAGTACATTTCTCTCTGAAGATTTCAAATTACTTTACAAACATTAATGAATGTGTCCTTTCAAAACCTTGTGAGGTAGGAAAGTGTTATCCCCATTTTACTGCTGTGGAAATTGAGGTGCCAAGAAATACAGTGACATACTCCAGATCACATAAAAAGTCTATCAGAAAAGAAACACCCCAGACTTCTTGTGCCCTGACCTTAAGAACAAGTAGCAACAAGTTTGAAAATGTTGATGTGCTAATAAGGAGATGCCAGTCAAAGACTGCATTAAACTAACCATATAGAGAGGAAGCTGGCTGCTGCTGATAAAACATCTCAGGTGAAATTTATGTGACCAATGCTCGTTGCTATAGAAACTAGCATCATAGTTATTTACTGCTTCCAGTGCTAACAGGTGCAAAAAGCATCCATTAAAGGCCTCAATTTTTCTGTCAGTTGCAAGTTTCAATTTACGTATACTTTCCTTTGGGAGAAATCAGAGTCTATTGCATATTTCTCCTACTTCCATTGGATTGTAGTGGTGATTTGCCCTCTTTCTATTCAAGACTGGCCCTTAAAAATAAATGTTTAGAATCTATAGTCGTCAAGAATCAGGGGGTAGCCGTGTTAGTCTGTATCTACGAAAACAACAAGGAGTCTGGTGGCACCTTAAAGACTAAGCTGCCTTCCTAAACTGTCACGGAGATCTCAGGGGCTGGTGCCAGTCGACAGACCGGTCATTGAGAAACACGACTATAGATTACAACAAGGAGTCTGGTGGCACCTTAAAGACTAACCGATTTATTTGGGCATAAGCTTTCGTGAGTAAAAACCTCATGCATCCGAAGAAG